TCCTCTTAATATTGGGACTCACCAAGCCTCTATGCCTAAACCCATACACGTTCAGCACTTAATTATCCGCAAAGTTGAAATTCCATTTCATGCTCTTCAAGCACCTCTCAACCGGGTAAAATGTAGACGAGTTGATTTCAGAAGTCACCATTTTCGCGCCCAGTCGACGAGCAGATTTCAGAACTGTCCCAGCCTTGAGCGTATGAACTGTCCCAGCATGTTTGTCCACATTGAGCCCAAATTGCTGATGACCCGTGGTTGGAATAGACGTGCCATGAAGGAAGGGTGCCAGAATAGGTGGTCCGTGATCGTGGGAACAACCGTCGTCGCGGCCGGAAAATGTGATTGTTGGTCGCGAGTTCGTTGATTAGAAATTATGCTGTAGATTTCGATTTTCTGAATTAATTAATGTAATAAGACCATGTATGGATGCGCCATGTTGAGCTTGAGCGACCTATGGGGTGCTATTAACATGGGCATGGATGGAGTTGCTTGAATTTTGAAGAAAATCGTGCGTGAGAGGCTTATTTTGGGCTGAAATTGGCTCCATTTTGCTATGTTTTTGGAGCTGTTGTTTATGTTAGGATGGTAGAGGTTGATGAGGAGATATTGGTGGTGGACAAATCCTAGTCTGAATTTGTTGCAGAAACCTCAATCGATGGACGGTGGGCGGACGTTCACATTGGTTTCCATGGTTGGCGGCGCCTATGGTGAAAGAGAGGAGAGGGAGAATTTTACCAACGAGGTCCTCAAGCTTCTATGTCCATGTGTTTTGGTCCTTTAAAATTGAATTAACATCATAACAGTCCTAATAGTTCTTTCAGTGACCATTTGTGAAACTGGATGATACTTCAGTGACCGTTAGTGCAAGTTTTAAACTTCAGTGACATTTTTGTGATTTTGACGTAACTTCAGTGACCGTTTGTGAAATTAACCCAAATATGTACATCTTGTCTGGCACGCACGTGTGTCAAAAATTTGAAAAAAGTATTGTTAAAATAAAAAATAATTCTACTTGTACAACTTTGGGTTACAACAATATATGACAATCTTTCACAAATGTGGTGGGCCCGCGATTAAAATAATCGCAGGCCCCACCTCCCGTGTGAGGTTGTAAAAGTGTTTGGTGTTGTACATGTATCATTGTTGTAAAATAAATGTTTAGAAATTTGTCAACTCACTGAAACATATAAGAGCTTGTTTGGAAAGGATTAAAATCAGATTAAAATTGAAAAACTAGCCGTTATTGTTGACTTTTATTAGACGGGTGGGATCCAATAACGGCCATATTTTCAATTTTAATTGGATTTTAAGCCCTCCCGAACAGGGCCTAAATAACAATACACATGTAGCATGATTCAAAAATCATTTTTTACAAAATCTGTTAACAAAAATTTTCTTCCAAACAAGGGCTTATTATTGGGAGATTTTGCTACAAGGGTATCTCCAAGATATCTTTAAGCTACTATTTGTCCCCCGTTATTTCATATTATAATGAAAGGAATGATAATTTTTCGGAGATTGTATTGTTAAAAAATAAATTAAAGTTTTTAGATTTACTTATAATATTATTTTATTGAAAAATGTGTGGTCGATGAGGGGGGGGGGAATGAATTATAATTTAATGGGGAATAATGGGGGCACAAGTCCCCCTATTTGAACATCATTCTTTAATTTTTTTTTTTAGCTTATTTTTATTTAATACATTCTCTTAATAAAATAATTTTGAATAATGTTATTCAATTTCATTGGCGCTAGCACCAATCTTATATAACAACTAAATATCATTACAAATTTATATACAACAAATTAATTTAAATGCAACATCATTGATCTCTTTAATTAGACCTATCAAGTTTGGCCACTTAAAACAGTTTATATATAGCATTATTAAGCCCTTTGTTTGGTACAGAATTTCAATAAAAGTTAACAATTAGTTTAAACAACATATTTCAAGTGATCCACAACTTTTAAACCATCAATTTTATCAGTTTTATCAAAATTTACTAAAAATCATATTTAAATTTCCACCAAACAGGGGCTAAAAAATTTTACATGTAAATCCATATTTTTGTTTTTCATTTTTTTTTAACTATACATCCAAAAAATCATTTTTTAGAATCTAATATGTGATTAAAAAAGAAGGAAATTATTTTATGGAAGATTGTATGATTGAAAGTAAGAAAGAGAAAAATTATAATTATTATAATAAATTATATATTCCAACAGTCTAATCCTTAAATTATTCAAATCATATTTGAATTTATTGATCAGGAAAGCCCAACTTATGAAATGTAAATAGTGAAGCAAAACAAGCACGTTCATACTCAATTTATCCATAAATCAAGAATTTTATTGATGCGATTGACACAAAAATCTCAAAGACTCCAACAACTACCCAATTGAATGACTTAAAGAGTGTCTAAAAGATACATAATTCAATAAATTGACTGTTGTGTACCTTTTAGACAAGCTTTTAAAAGCCTTACCTAATGAGTCTTAGGGCGTGTTCCGTAGAGATTAAAATTGAAAAATTAATCGTTATTGTTGACTTTTATTAGACGAGTGAAACCCAATAACGGTTATATTTTCAATTTTAATTGGATTTTAATCCTAGCCAAACATGTTCTTATATAATATAAGTTGTTAAAATGTAAGTAGGGGAAGTTATTTGATTGAAGAGATCTTAATCCAATTATATNTTAGAAAAAATATATTTAAGTTAACCTTTTTAAGAAGCACTTCTACAAGAAGTGGAAGTAAAAAAAGGAAGTCTTGCTAAATGGATTTTGACTTTTCAAAGACGTGCCAAATGTGGAAGACAGACAAGGCTTAATAATTAAGTAGATTTTTATTAGAGCATTGGAGCACTCTTTTGCCAAAATAAAAAGAATAATTCTACTTGTACATAAAAAAAAATGTACATAAGGGTGTACACCATCCCTCACACGGGAGTGTGACCCACTTGTATAACATTTTTTTATTCAAATGGGTCCCACCCCCATATGAGGAGGGGTGTATACCCCTATGTACATAATTATGTACCACTAGCAAAATCGAAACAAAAATCCTCACTGTTTACTGATCCCAACAATGATAGACTTATTCTAATGAGGCCCACATATCAATTTAGTGCTTGTTTGGTAGAGATTTTTTGGGGGGAAGAATTGATTTTTGAATAGTGATATGATGGGAAATGTGTGGTTGAAAAGAAGAAAAAATTATCGATGTGATGGAAAATATTATTTTATTGAAAAATATGTGGTTAAAAATGAGAATTGTTTTACTGTAGAATTTGAGAATAAAAAACAAACAGGCCCTTAATGTGGCTCTACAAGTTGTTGAACCATAAGGCGAAATTGATTAAGTCCCTCTTCGGTAGTGTTTAATTTATTTAGAATTTAATTTAAATTATAATTAAAAATTAATTTAATAATATATTTTATGGAGTTTACAAGTTTTCAACAATACATTTCATCAATTTTATCAAATTCTACTAAATATTTGATTTTAATCACCAAACAAGGGCTAAACATTATACATGGGTAATATTTTCAAACCCCAACATTGTTACATATAATGAGTATTGGGTAGTGACCATCTTTTAGTTAGTTCTCTATTGACCTAAACTAATATTGTTGAATTAGACTTATCGTACAATTCGATTTTAAATTTGAAATTGTGCTACCGCAAATATGTGTTTTCCGCTCATAAATTTATAATCATCTGATTTTAATGACATGCAAACATGAACGATATATTTGGAGCTCTTTATGATAGTTGTTCGAGATGATAGTGCATAACTCAAGTTTAGAACAACACGATAATTATGAATACAGATTATGTCGTGTTGGACGAGACATGCCAATAACATGCACAAACCAATGTGAACGAATATTTTATTTTCATACCATTTGACCAAGTTAGCAGCACGACTATTGATTCTTTCCACTCCAATTATTCGTTTTGTTCGCAATTTCACATGTAAGGGTCAGGCAAAGACTATTGGAATCTTCAAGGTTGTTTCCCATAGTTGAACTAACAAAATTGTTTACCAATAATTTTTTATTAATTATTATTATAATTTCTTATTCTTTTCAATGGTTTAGATCAACAAAAATAATTTTAAATGGAAATATTTTTTAGTGTTTTGTTCTTTGCTTGGGGGCATTGGTAGAAATTAAAATTTAGATTTTAATTTAAATCAAAGTCAAACAATTAATTTTAACAATATATTTCATGATATTCACAACCATCGTCAAAATTTATTAAAAATCTAATTTTAATCTCATCAAATAAGGGCAAAATCCTCTTACAAATTTTCTTGCATTGTATTATCTACTCCATTTAGTTTGACTTAGTAAGAAGACTTGGGTGGCTTAGTTGGCGAAGTTTACCATTGAAAAGACAAAATTAGAGGGTTAAAGTCCTCTTTGATCGCACGTGCGCTCTACACAAAAGGAAGAAGAATAAGAAGATGCACAAACATGCATATCAATTCGAGCAGTTCAAGTTGGGAAAAGAGAACAAGGATTTGTACTTGTGGATCTAGGCGAAAATTGCAGACTATGGTGTTCCATAATCGTTCAGAGGTAGTTAATAATTGTTGCAACCTCTATGATGAGACTCAGAACAGTAGCAATGCTCGTGAACCAATTTACGATGTCTTCGTCACTAATGTTCATCAAGCAAGAGGCATGTATTAGTCATGGTCTCCTTTGACTAATTAGTTCTTAATCTTTGAGCATTTGAACAGAATATATAGAAGTAAAATTAATAAAATCGAGTTAAGGGCTATGCTAGAATAAATTTGTACCAATATATATGATTCTCCCGTTCCAATTAATCATCTAATAACATTTTGATGATATAAAATCATTTCACAACTTTCTTACATCATATAAATACACGAAATAAGCTTGGCAGCTCCCAAATATGAAATATACATACTCATAATAATAACTAATACGTAATAACAACAGAATAAAGAAAATGTAAAATCAAAAATCAAATCCACCATCAAAGCCATAATCCCCTGCATCCGAAATCATATCTCCAATTAACAACCCGCCAATAGCACCTCCTAGCAGTCCGGCACCTAGTCCCATGCCAAATTTGTTCTTTTTTGGTGGTTGCTGTACCACCGGCGGCGCATAGCCATACCCCGGTGGTGGTGGTGGTTGGGGATACCCATATCCTGGCGGTGGAGGCGGCGGGTATCCACCATAAGAGGGTGGAGGTGGTTGTGGGTACCCATATCCCGGCGGAGGAGGAGGATATCCTCCGGGCGGCGGCTGCTGGGGTGGATACTGCTCATTTCCCCCGGCAGTTGGATAAGGAGGATACCCTACAGGCGGTGGCGGAGGATACATAGAACTGGGTCCCGCCATCATCGGATTAGCTGGAAAAGCGGTGACAGGCTTATCATCTTCAACTTTTGTCGCAACAGGCGGCAGAACTGGTGGCGCCGCCGCAAATCCACCGGCAACTTTCTCATTAAACCTGTATGAAAAAGTAAGTTCCCCTTTAGGCTTCCCACTGGGTTTCCTCACTTGATAACTCACAAACTTCTGCTGCTTCCCATCCCCGCCTCCACCGGCAGCCGCCGGAGATTCAAGAAGCTCTTTTAACGGCACGTGCACTTCACCAACGTCCTTATCCCCAAGTACTCGCTGACACACAAGCTTGAACACAAGATTTAGGCGGTTCTGCTGGAGCGCCGCATCCTCCACCGTGAACTTCATAGGAAAATTCCAAGTGGGATTGCTGTCTCCATCGTTGTCCACCGGCGTTTTTGTCTTCTGTTTCGATTTCTTGTCTCCGCCGGAGATTGAAACGACGACGTACACGTCCATTTTCGTGATGAGGTTGACTTTGTTTAGATCCCTTGCAGACATGACATTGATTTCCAATGTACGATAATCCATTTTGATGATTTTAATGAATTGAATAAACCAAAGAAATTTTGAGTTCAGTGTAGAATCTATATAGATATATGGATAACACTAGAGAGAGAGAGACTTTTAAGTCAACGTTTTGCGTGGCCTTACTTGGCGGCTTCGTGCATGTAACGATACTAACTTCGATAATTTCATCAACCATGGTTTAGGTCCTTAATTTTTCATTTATAATTATATACGGCTTGTTTGGTTAGTAAGTCTTTGTTTGGTTTTGCTTAAAAGTTGATAAAAATTTGAGTCAAAATAAATAATTAATTTTATAAATACATTTCATAGAATTCAGAATTTTTATTAACTTTTCAATCATGAATTTAGTCAATTTTTATCAAAATTTACTAACAAGTTGCTTGTTAGTAAAATCAAACCGGGAAACTATGAACGAAATAATTAATGAAATTTTCACTAATAAATTACACTTCACTAATGCACACTATAAGAAATAAACTTTTATTTTTTTCACATTTCTTTCTTCTTCAATTATCTTCATAAATCAACGTACCAAACATGTCCTTGTTTTCTTATCTCTAATTTTTTTTTTTTTTTGGTTAATTTAGACAATAGATGGTTTGGAAATAAATGGTTGAAGTTGCACTGAACAAGCTAAGAAGTCAATTTTCTATATCATTTTCCATTCCTCCCAATCTTCCAATGACAAAGAGTTTTTTCCTTTCCTTTTCCACTTCCTTTTTTCCTTTCCACAACCTAATTTTCTTGATAACAATTTGACTATTCTATATGTAACAATTCCTAAAATTGTAAAATTAGTGACTTGACTAGTGATTAACGGGATGTGAGATAGGTCCAATATCTATATATGTAGGCCGTGTTTGGTGGAGGGTCCAAAAATAAATGGACCCGTTGGGTCCAAAAATAATTATGGAACCGTTAGGGTTCGGTTCCGTTCCGTTCCGTACCATAATTAAAGAATAAACCAAAGAAATTTTGAGTTTAGTGTAGAATCTATATAGATATATGGATAACACTATAGACATAGAGAGGGAGATGAAGAGAGAGAGTTTTAAGTCAACGTTTTGCGTGGCCTTACTTGGCGGCTTCGTACATGTAACGATATAATAACTTCGATAATTTCATCAACCATGGTTTAGGTCTTTAATTTTTCATTTGGGGCGTGTTTGATCCACATTATTTTGAAAGAATGTATTCTGAAATAATAGATTGATGGAGAATTTGTGGTTAAAAAATAAGAAAAAGTTACTGATGTGATGGAAAATATTATTTTATTGAAAAATGTGTGGTTGAAAATGAGTAGAAGAATGTGAATGAAAATTTTAATGTGTACTAAACAGGGGCTTATAGTTATATACAGCTTGTTTGATTAGCAAGTCTTTGTTTGGTTTTGCTTAAAAGTTGATAAAAATTTGAGTCAAAATAAATAATTACTTTTATAAATACATTTAATAGAATTCACAATTTTTATTAACTTTTCAATCATGAATTTAGTCAATTTTTATCAAAATTTACTAAAAAGTTGCTTGTTAGTAAAGTCAAATCGGGAAACTATGAACGAAATAATTAATGAAATTTTCACTAATAAATTACACTTCACTAATGCACACTATAAGAAATAAACTTTTTTTTTTCACATTTCTTTCTTCTTCAATTATCTTCATAAATCAACGTACCAAACATGTCCTTGTTTTCCTATAGATGGTTTGGAAATAAATGGTTGAAGTTGCACTGAACAAGCTAGGAAGTCAATTTTCTATGTCATTTTCCATTCCTCCCAATCTTCCAAACTTCCAATGACAAAGAGTTATTTCCTTTTGTTTTCCACTACTTTTTTTCCTTTCCACAACCTAATTTTCTTGATAACAATTTGACTATTCTATATGTAACAATTCCTAAAATTGTAAAATTAGTGACTTGACTAGTGATTAACGTAGATGTGTCAAGATGGACGGGCCGACCAGACCCGTGAAAACCGGTCCGAATCGACCCGGAACCGCGGGCCGACCCGTGACCCAAGCGAGCGGTTCACGGGTCAAGGAGGTGTGACCCGCGGGCTTCGCAGGTTGCACCTTCACGGGCCGCGATTAACCCCGCTGGCCCATGAAAAAAATTAAAAATATTTGAAAAAAAATAGGTGACAGCCTAATTGAGATGTATTTATACTATAAATATTTGATCATAGTAATTAGAAATACATTTAGTTGTTATTTGTTTAAATTAAATTTAACTTTGCAAAGTTATAAATAATTCATGTAACATTAAATTTGAATTCTATGTAAACATTTATTGGTATAAATATGAATTTATCATTTTATTCAATTATTAGTTTACATTTAACAAAAAAAATATTTTTTGCTATAAATATGAAAAATTCTATGTTTTTATAATTTTATTTATACAATAATAATGGCCAAATTGGAACAAACCGCGACCAGCGCGACCCGTTACCTACATGGGCTCGACCCAAATGGATCAACGGGCGGATCTGGGTTGTAGTCCAAAATTTGTGGGCCGACCTAGAACCGGCCCAGAACCCTAGTGGGCGGGATTTTTTTCACGCGAGCTGTTATCGAGCTCATATGTTTGCGGGCCGACCCAGCCCGAACCACCCGGATTTACACCTCTATATTTAACCCATGTTTGGTTTTGTTAAAAATCATACTTTTAGTATATTTTGAAAAAATATGTAGTTTGAAAGTTGATAAAAACGTGCTAAAAAAATATCATTGATTTGTGACCGTTTGATTTTTTGCAAGTGTATGATATCGTGAACAAATAATAAAGTGATGAATAAAATATTGTTCTCACGAGAACTATCCATTCAATCTAGGATCAATCTATTATAACTCCAATCGAATAGCTAAAGATGTTTGAATGATTTTTACTAATTAATAAATTAAACTAACAATTCTAGTGATCAAATTATGAAACTTTTGTAAATTTAGCTGAGAAGGTTACTAAGACCTCGAATCCTCCTTATTAATTCATTTCAATTCAATTCAATAACATGATAACATGTGCACATTTTTATTGTTAAATATTCATAAATTAGTTAAAAATATCTCTCAATATCAAATAAATTTATCATATCATGTGACCTTCTTATATCTTTATGAAAGATGATAATATGAAAGTATGTATTAAAAATACTAGAACAATTATAGAATCATAGAAAGTATAGTGGCATATCTATATCTCTTATCAGATTATACAATGATTGTTATAACGTGCTATCTATCATATTGTTTCTCTCGAAATCAATAAAACTCACAAATCAGTCTAATTAGTGATCAAGTAATTGAAAAACATTAAACACAATAACAATCATTCAAGAATAAACACATAATGGGTGTCAAATTATCGAATTAATATTAAAAACTTCATAAGAAGAGTTTATCAATGTTTTAGTAAGTAAAATACTAGTCTAGCATTACAAAATCACAAAATGTTTAATTGGAAGATCACAACCCAAATTTTAATTTACTGAAGAACAAGAAGATTGATCTTGAGATTTTGAATTTTTTCAATGGTTTCTTGATGATTCTCTAATATATTTTTTTGTTGTCTCTCCAAAAATGAAGATTGAACTCCAATTTATTAAAAACTTGTATTTGCCCTTTAATTCTCACAAAAATAATGGATTGACCTCTTTTAGATGATATTAATTGATAAATCGAGGAATATGATATGCGTCTTTTTATGAATAAAGTTGTTTTGTATTTATAAGATTCGAAAATTGGATGAAAATCTCGTCAAAATTTCATTTGGAGAGGAAATCTAGCAAAAAGGTGTTCAAGAAACGCTTAGGTACCTGTTTCCGATGTAGTGCCTGGGTTCTGAGGGTGCCTAGGCTCTTGTAATTTTTTGCAAACGGGCAATTTGGTCCCTAAATTCGATTCTAGATTCTTTTAAGTCATTTTTTTCTTGCAATTTCAATCCTTTAATTTTTAATTGCATCGAATTGAATTCGTAACATCTTCATTTTGTGGTCCGAATCAACTATTGAAAAATTACAATTAGGTTCTCGAACTTTGAATTTCACCATTTTCGTTATTTTTCTCTTAAATATCCCAATTCCATGTTCAATCATCAAATTTCACCTAATAAACAAAATATAAAATAATTAGGTCATAATTAATCAAAATAACTTCAAGATTTCCATATTTAAAGGCACGAATAAGTGTATAAAATACATTTATCAATTCGTCTTGATATATAAGACGAAAAAATAACATACCAACATAGCAAATAGAAGATAACACTTAGTGCTGCCGAGACTATTAAATAAATAACATTCACAAAATAATATAGTAAAAGTGGATAGCAATATGAAAACTTAACATGATATAAGAATCAAACAATTAAACAATACAATTGAGGCGGATTCGATATTGAGATAAGTTCTCCAAAAAATAAAACTTCCAAGAGATGTTTGACATAAAATGTACAAGATAAACTAAATTGATAAAATTTCATTAGTCGATTGTGGCTACTTCAATTCTCTCATCACAAGAAACTCCAGTGGCCTCTCGATATCTTTATAGGGTTGAACAACGATGTTGGAATGGGCCACCTTAATGTTTAAAAAAAAATGGCATCTCTTTATCTTTTGTTATATCTATAAATTACATGATATGTATGTGGTGGAGAGGGTCCTACATTAACTATCTGGACATGAAAAATGTCAATTAGATTGGGCCGATCAGATCAAGCATCTTCTTCTTGGGCTTGGACCTGGTCCACTAAACCCATATTGGCTCATTCCCCTCCCTATGTATAAGATGACTCCATTTACACTAGAGATATGTAATCCAAACCCTAGTAAAATCTCTTCTCAACCGTTTCTCTTGCACTCATTCTATATCTCATATCGACAATTGACTTGATAACTGAAGTGCAAACAATTGTCGAATTTTTATCAATGAATTCTATTAAAAAGCACTAATAAGCTATAAAAAAAAAGATCAAAAAGATATTAGAAACTCACAAATCCACTTCACGGTCCATTCAATGTAAAGTCCGTTGTTTAAATAATATGATGATCCACTACTACCATATACGGACCACTTAGCTCATCGGTATTTTGTTAGATATAAATTTGTCATTTTAGAGCTTCTTATTTTATCTGATGTTTCCATTAGAAGTTCCATCATATAATTTCATGCTTCAAAAATAAAGCTTATAGTGTAAAATCTTCTACAATTTTATTTTTTATTTGAATTACACCCTTGTAAATTTAAGCGACAAAGTGTTAGCTTATTCTTAATATATATTAGTTCATGTAAATTCATATAAATTATGACTTAAATTAAGAGACTGAAAATAGATAATAATTTTGGAACCGATTTTCTTTAGCTAAAATCAATAACCAAACTAGAACCTTTGGATTCTTTATTTTAAGGCTAAGATCAGACCACTTTTAACTTAAACTCAAACTAAAGCAGCTAATTCGGTTTGATTCTTGTCCGATTCGTGTAATTCCAAATAAAATTTCCGATACCTTATTCATGTAAAGTACCACACAGTTACATCTACATTCATTCCTGTCCTCCCATTCTCAATTTTTAAGCATATCTTTTCCTTTTCCAAAGTTCTAATGGTTTGTATCAATTGGGCAAAAAATGTTACAAATTTAAATAATTGAAGTCATGCTTAACAGAAATCTTGCTGATGATCTAAAATAATATTGCAATTGTCATACGATTCCGAGAAGTTTTCATGGGTAAATTTGCATTAGTAAAACAAAGGAAATAATCAATAATTGTACAACAAACACACCCAGATTGTGGAGCATCAACAGAAGGCAGATGCTCATCATCCTCTTCCTACCAATATGTTTCAAGTATCTTCACTGTCCTCATGAGTCTGGAGGTTCTTAATCTCCTGTAGATTCCCAGCATCGTCAATCATTTGAGCAAAGATATTCACATTGGTATTACCTTGATTCTTCTCAGCTTCTCTAACCTTCAGAATGTTCTCAAAGCCTACCAAGCAGATTTTGATGACTCTCACTTGGTTGGGACTAAGTAGAAGACCGCACATTGGCTTTATACAACCCTCGTGCACCAAGAACCTGCCACCAAAATAAGCATTAATACACAACCTAATGTAACAATAAACTACGAGAATATGACAATAGCTGTGAAGAATTTACTTAATTTGCTCATTAGTTCATGTTGGGTTTTGATACCTAATAAATTCGGGCGATGACGATAAAACGATGTTGGATATTTTATCACACTAAAGTGACAACTCGACTCGGAAACAACTAATACATCTTTGAAGGGCCTAAGTTTTAGTTGGGTTGGTAGTTTGGTTAATGTATGAATTTGGTTATTGTTAGCGCATTAACTTGGCCTATTATGAGTGAGTCTTGGCCCAAAACTAAACCATGCCTATATACATATAGCCATGTGTTTTCTTCATTGTGTGTGTCAGGGGCGGACACAGAACTTAAAAGTTAGGGGGGTACAATCGAACTTACAAAGAAGGTGGGAGAAATTTTACAATAAAAAATTTACATCCAAAAAAATCATACTTAATGTAATTTTACATCCGAAAATTTATATGGGATATAAATTTTTCGGATGTAAAGTTTCGAAAATTTTTGATTTTATATTCCATATAAAATTTTCTAATAAAATGATAAAAATTACATTGAGAAATTTGTATAGCAAAAATAATAAATGTTAATGAAATAATTGAATT